CTTAACACTGCTCTTAGCTCCCTCTGCTAACCAAATAACAAGATCAAACACATTTGGAAGAAAATGGAAAGAGAAGCAGAAAAGAAAGAGGGCTTTATTCAAATGATTAATAATGCAAGGTGAAGATCATTTTCATCATTCAATATACATTCAAATATATATATTTCTTTAAACCCTAGCTGTCAAATTATTTCTTGTCACATTCCACTAAAAGAGTCCGTCAACCAAAAAATAACAAAAAAAACAAAAAACACTAATTGACCCACACAGAACCAACCACAAACCTCTTACGGCCATCCACACCTACAGACTTCTCAACTCAAATGAAATTTTGGTACCCCACAAAAGGAACCCCCACAACCCCTGATGTATTAATCATTGATGTGTTTGAATTTTTTTTAAAATTGTGTCTAACAGTACATGAATGATTCAGTCACTTTGCGGATTGTGAGAGTTGTATTTTGTGAGGGTCTCTACCATTACTGCAGAAATTGGAGGGAAACAATATCAACTTCCAGTTGAGCTCTCACGTTAAGCAAATATAGATGAGGATACCAAGTGGTCACTAATAATAACACACAAGCTTTTAATCCTCACACAAAATTAAGCAGCACAAAACAACCCTCTCAATAGGTAAATAAGCTCAACTGTTAATGCAATACAATAAAACTCTTCACACCAACTAGATAACGAGTCAGAAATTTCTCAATTAGGGTTGAATGAGAGGGTAAAGATAACTAGAAGTGCACCTTCCTACACCTACTTGAGAGATAACCATCATGAAACCTCAAAATGAGGTGATTTTGCATATTCTATGGACTTACAAGGATGGGTCAAAGTACCATTTTCTTGATCAAGCATTGAACGACCTCAGCAACACCGCTAGAAGTTCCCTCTGGAGAGACCATCGGGCATATCAAATGTCCTCCTTCGCATGGAAAGAGATCTGCCAGGAGGCTGAGGGTCTACTACGTCGAGCATTGCTTCCAGCTCATAAACCATCGACCTTTTCCAGCCCGCACATAAGATCAGCACCCTAATAAAAGTGCAAAATCAGCAAATTAGAGGATCAGTTTTGTTGCCTAGTGATCCGGAAAAAGCAATGTAAACTTGAAAACCCGTAAAAAAAATTAATCAGTAGATCAAGAATCATAAAGAACACCATACTACTCCCATGCTAGGAGCACCAGAAAGAGAGACTTCATCAGAAAGAGCACAATTCACCATACATAAGACTTCGAATTCCAATAAATACTTACATCATCACTCATCTGGGGCTTCATTGAACAGCACTTAATTCACACCTATTCCTGATTTTATGCCTACTAAATAAACTAGAACCCTAATATCAAACTTCAGCCAGTAAGTGAGAAATCATCATGTCGTTACCCAGCATCTGATGACTAAGAAGATATACATATATAGAAGTAATACAAACATCAAACTTTTGTAGTTGAATTTGTTTTCATCAAAGCATCAGCATCTTCATGCCCTGCATCTCGCATAAAATACAAGTAAGCAGAACCACACCATCTTAATAACCCAATCAAGTGTTTATAGTAGGCAACCATCCAATGACCAAATCATCATGCAAGACAGGCATACGAAGACAAATCAAAGCCACATACTTGGGATATTGTGTTATTTGTTTTCATCTTGGATGATTTCATTTTACCTTCTTGTTTTTCCATTTTTTGAAAGAAAGGGGAAAAAATGAAAAATCCAAACCACCCATCATTCATTTTTGTGAAGTTTTCGAAAATTCATAAAAACAAGTTACAAGTAATTTCTAAAAAATATGGATGTTTTCAGAAATTTCCTAATAACAGTTCTCAGAAATAATTTTTCCCAACAAGTTCTGTCGGTCAAGGCTGTGTGCATGTGATAAATAAACCAAAAAAGTACTCATAATCAATTGAAATTACAAAGTCTTTAAACAATTTAAGTCGCTGAACTTTATGATGGCCAGATTCTAATCAAAAAAAACTCATAACAAAGCGCAATAGCGGTTTTGGTAATTCTATGTGAAACAACACAATAAGAACGTAGAAAAACAACAGAGAGATACATTACCTCAATGCCATCAACAGTGAGAAGCAGACAATGATCTTCTCAGAGAACCTCTGCACTCCTCGCATC